GGGTATGGGCACATGGGTGCAGATGCCTGCTGAGCAGTTGAATCTCCTTAAGCTGGAGTTGCATAGCTAGGAATCAAATTTGGGTCTTCTGGAAGAATATTATGTGCTTTTAACCACTAAGCCATCTCTCCAGTCCCAAGAGTAGCAATTTTTCTTGTTGCTTTATTAAAAGACTTCTTATAAAAAGAAAGTGTAAAGAATGTAGGTCAATAATCAGTCATTTTTTCTGTATTTAGTGGAATGAGGCTTGGAACAGTTGTCCTGCTCATTTCAGTTCTGCTTGTTTTCCCTCTTTGGAATTCATGCTAAGACTGTGTATTGTATCTGTTAGGCTTGCAGTAACAAAAAAGAGATCAGTGAACATTATTGGTTGTCAGAGAAATGCAAATTAGAGCTAAGATGAGAAATGACAGGATGAGCAGGTTAAAGCCAGAGAATTTATGCTTTTGGAGTTGAGCCAGATCCCAAAATGAAAGTGTTGGAGAATTGGGTCCTTTAAAGGCCTCAGAGGGAGAATCTGTTCGTGACTCTCCTTAAACTCTGGCAGTTGGCATTGCTTGTTGAACAGTTGCATAATTCCACTCTGTGCCTTTGTTCACATGACTGTCTTCCCCATGTCTTCACATGCTTCTCATCTCTATGTGGCTATCTCTTGTGACGCTAGCAGTCAGTTTGGATGAAGAACCTCCTCTACTTCAGTATTTCTTCCTTTGCATTTTCTTTGCATTTATATATTTGTAAACATTCATAGGTACCAGAGGTTAGGACTTAAACATATGTTTTTGAGAGATGAAATTCAGCCCATAACAGTCCATATCTTTTGAGCTTTCTACACTCCTTTCTAGCCATGTGATATGGGTATCCACATAGTTCCCATACAAACTAATGAACATACTTAATCCATTCAACATTATTTTATTATTTTTCAACATTATTTCATTATTATTTTTTTAATAGGCTTTCTCTTATGTAGGCCTGTCCTGGAACTCTCTATCTCAGAGTCTGTTCTAAACTCAGAGATCTGCCTTTCTCTGACTCCCAAGTGCTGGGATCAAAGGCGTGTGCCACCACCGCCCACCTTTTCCAACGTGATTTAACTAAATAAAAGACTGAAAGCCAGCCTTGTGGTGGTAGTGGCCACAGCGGCAGCAGCATACATTTTGTAGCACCAGGGATCCTAACACCAGGGATGCAGAGGCAAGCAGATCTCTAAATTTGAGGACAGCCAGGGCTACATAGTGAATCTTCTGTAACTTAACAAAGTTTGACAATGTTGGCTGTAGAGATAACAGCCATAAAGAGCACTTGCTCTTCCAGAGTACCTGTTTAGTTCCTAGCACCCATGTCTGGTCACTCACAGTCTCCTGTAACTCTAGCTCCAAGAGGCCTGACACCCCATAGATAGTGCACACACATGGCACACACTCAGATATCCACCACACATGTCCATGAATAAAAATAACAAAATATAGCACATAGCATTGCTAGCACCCCTCCCTAATTTATCCTTGTGAAAAATTTAAGGCATTTGCTTTTTTTTTAAAATCTCCTTTTATAAAATTTTACTAATTTAAGGGGGGTTCATTTATTTTATTTACATGTTCTTTCTGAGCTACACACATTACAAAATCTTCATTTTCTTGATGGCCTGCCTTTTCAGTTTTGCTTGTTTGAGACAAGCCACCTGGAACTCAGAAATCTCACTGTCTCCTAAATGCTGGGGTTAAAAGTATATGTACCACCTAGAACCCCTGCTCAGATGTAGCCCGTGGCAGCTCAGTATCCAAGTGGGTTCCCTAGTAAGGGGAACAGGGATTGTCTCTGACATGAACTCCATGGCTGGCTCTTTGACCACCCCCCCCCCCCCTGAGGGGGGAGCAGCCTTGCCAGGTCATAGCGGACCTGATTACAGCCAGTCCTGATGAGACCTGATAAGCTAGGGTCAGATGGAAGGGGAGGAGGACCTCCCTTAACAGTGAACTTGGAGAGGGTCATGGGAGGAAATGAGGAAGGGAGGGTGGGATTGGGAGGGAATGAGGGAGGAGGCTACAGCTGGGATACAAAGCGAATAAAATATAATTAATATAAAAAATTTAATTAAAAAAAATGTGTGCACCATGCTGGGCCTCTCTACCTTCTTAGTGATGTCTGATTAAGAAATTCCTTCCCCCCCCCCCCCAAGACAGGGTGAAGCCCTGGCTGTCCTGAGACTCATTCTGTAGACCCCATGCTGGCCTTGAACTCAAAGCAGTCCACCTGCCTTTGCCTCCACAGTTCTGAGATTAAAGGCACACATGACCATAGCCTGGCAAAGACTCCAGCAAGCTGGGGATGGAAACAGATGCAGAGACTCAGCCAAACTTTGGGTAGAGGGCAGAGAGTCTTATGGAAGAAGGGGGATAGAAGGACCCAGAAGGGACAGGAGCCCCAAAAAGAGACCAGCAAAGCCAAAAAATCTGGGCCCACGGGCTGCAGAGACTGATGTACCAACCAAGGACCATGCATGGAAATAACCTAGAACCCCTGCTCAGATGTAGCCTATAGGCAGCTTAGTCTCCATGTGGGTGCCCTAGTAAGGGGATCAAGGGCTACCTCTGACATGAACTCAGTTGCCTGCTCTTTGATCACTTCTCCCTGGTAGGGCGACCTTGCTGGCCCACAGAGGAAGAGGATCCTGGCAGTCCTGATGAGATTTGATAGGCTAGGGTCAGACCTTAGGAGAGGGGAAGAGGGGGAAGAAGGGGAACTTAACTGGGTGTAGTGGTACACACCTTTAATTGTAGCACTAAGGAAAAGTAGGTAGGTGGATCTCTGTGAGTTCAAGACCAACTTGGTCTACATAGTGAGTTTCAGGACAACTGGAGCAACAAAAAAACGAGAAAGATTTGAGGCCTACCTGGGTTTTGAAGTAAGATCCTGTTCCAGGTATTCCCAAACCAACTAGCCAAACAAGCAATCATTTCAGATTATTGTAAATTTTATCCTTATCTGCTTCTTTCTTTTTTCATGAATTATTTATTTAGTTTGTTCCTTCCTTCACCCCTCCCTTTTTTCTCTCCTCTCCTCCCCTCCCTTTCCCTCCTCTCCCCTTCCCAGTATTGACCATGCATGTTAAAAATGATTTCAGGGCTAGAGAGATGGCACAGCAGTTAAGAGTATGCCTCGCTCCTGCAGAGAACCAAGTTCCGTTCCCCGTACTCATGTTGGACAGCTGAGCTGCCTGTAACTAGAGTTCCAGCCTCTCTGAGCTGCATCGGCACACCTGCACACATGGTACACACTCACACATACACGTGATTTTAAATAAGTAAATAAATAAAATGAGGACGACTTTACAACCATGTGTCTCCAGTGACACCTTGGAGTTACCCAACAGGCTTTGGCCTGCTCCAGGACTGCTGATAGTTTTCCTGCCTTGCATCCTCAATTGCCTATACCAGATCATGTTGGAGAGAAAGAAAGTCATTAGGACAACCGTACCAGGGACTGGAGAGATCGCTCAGCACTTAGGAGCACGTCCTCCTATCCCAGATGGCACCAGTTTGTTTCCAAGAACCCACACCAACTGGCTCACAACCACCCGTAACTCACTTCCAGGGGATCCAACACCTATGGTCTCAGTTACCTGTACTCATGACCACATACACACATGAATGTATGTATGCACATTGAAAAATACATATGTAAAATAAATCTATTTATTTATTTGTTTATTTCTTTCTTTATTTATATACAAATTCAGTATGCCATACCCTAACTTCTTGCTCTGATTTTTGGCCTTTGTCTACTCTTGCCTTTTTTCTCTCTACACTGGAACCCAATTTTACTGGGTTGTCCCAGGAGTTTCTGTCTTTGTAAACAAAATGAGTTATTGTTGTATATCTTAATTTAGTATGGGTTACATTTTTAAAATGGTTGGTTAATATAATTGATTACATGTGGAGATAGCTTATATTCAATAAAATGTAGATTAAAATATTGATGGAACTTGGTTCTCTTCTTCCGGCCTTTAAGGATTTCAGGGATCTTGTTCTGGTCATCAGAGTTGACAGCAAGCTCTTTTCTTAATGAACTACAATGCTAGACATATCAAAAGCACAGCTTTAGTATCTGCCTCTGTGTGTGAGATATCTTTTTTCTATACTTGGTTGCCTCACCCTTTTAGGGTATTATGTGTGCACATGCTGTGTGTGTGTGTGTGTGTGTGTGTGTGTGTGTGTGTGTGTGTGTGTCTATAAAATGCATATATCTGTCTTCATTTGTGTGATGGGTATCAGTTGTTAGCTGCTGTCCACCTTGACTTTTGAAATAGAGTCTCTCACTGGAACTTAGAGCTGAGCAACTTAGCTGGACTGGCTGGCCAGCCATCCCTAGGGGTCTGCCTGTGTCCTACTCCTTATGTGTGGGGATTATAAATGTATACTACGATGCCCAGCTTTTGGTGTGGGTGCTGGGATCGTGCTCAGGTGCTTTTGTGGCAAGCACTTTATCTGCTGGGATGTCATCTCAGTCCCTACCTTCACCTTAAGTGGAAGTGCAAGTCAGCCCTAAGATAAATGCAGGGGCTCACACTACGTGAATTACTTCCCTGGTTCACTCTTCGGGCTCATTAGAGCCTCTTTAGGATTTAATTGTTATTATAAAATAAGGAGAAGATGTGAAGGATTATTTTCTGTGATGAATTCACAGAATTAAAATGAGCAAATAGGTAAAAGGGTCAATTTTTCAGATTTTTTAGACAGACCAAATGTCTGCAATAGAGTAGGAATTTAAATTATAGTTCTTAGATGAAAGAACGTTAAAAATGGCTTTGTATGTTTCCATCAATTCTTTCCACTACCAGTGTGAGATCATTTATTTTCCAACACCATCTTACAAGTTTTGATTATTTGAGTAGTCAAAAAAATTCTTTATCTGCCTTGGGAAAAAGATACTGTAACTAAGATATGCCCTCACCCTCTGTTCATCAGTGGAGTGAATGATCTTATGTTTCCTTACAGGACTGAATTTACTCTTAAAGAAACCATGTCCTCTGGAGGTGCTGAAGATGACATCCCACAGGGAGAGAGGAAGACTGTTACAGATTTCTGTTATCTTTTGGATAAGTCCAAGCAGCTGTTCAATGGGTTAAGGTCAGTAGACTCTAGATGTGTTAAACTTTACACTATTTCTGTGTTCCCCCTGGCTGCTTTATGCATGGACTTACATATAACACAGGTACATTTTATATGCGCACACACACAAACACACACATAGGTCACTCTGGGATAAAGTAAGATCCTGCCTCAAAAACAAGACAAAGAACAAACAGAAAGAAGTGATTGTAGCCTTTTTCTTTGACAGTGTTTATTCTTAGATGAAAAAAACAATGTGTTGGGTTGAAGAGGTGTCTCAGTGGTTAAGGACTACTTTTCCAGAGGACCTAAGTTCAGTTCCCAGTACCCATGTTGGGCAGCTTGCAGTTACCTTAACCCCAACTCCAGAGGATCCAGTGCCCTTTTCCCAGTTACACACAAATAAAAATAGAAGTAAATCTAAAAAAATATTGTTATCCAGGGTCAGATGAAAGGGGAAGAGGTCCTCTCCTATTAGTGGACTTGGAAAGGGGCAGGGACAATAAGAGGGAGGGAGGGTGGGATTGGGAGGGAATGAGGGAGCGGGATACAGCGGGGATACAAAGTTAATAAACTGTAACTAATATTAAAAAAAAATTTTAAAAAATTAAAAAATATTGTTACCATTCAGCTAGATAAGGTCTTTTGCTTTACCTTGATAGGAATTATAAGTAGACAGGAGACTCTTCCAGTGCTGAGCTCTGAGGCCTGGGGGCTCAGAGGTAGTCCTAGGGCAGGCCTATTGTTCAAGCTTTAAAAGGTAAGTATTTGGAGCTTCAGGCAGTCAGGTTACAGGACTGTAGCTCTATTATTTGTCCACCAGCAACCCCAGTACTTAGAAGCTAGTATAAAGCTCTGACATCAGTAATCAGGGCAACAGACCACAACAAGCAGTTCCTCCTAATGTTACAGCTCTTAGAATAGGTGCTCAGCGTTTAGCAACAAGGGTATTGGGATTCTTAGGCCTTTACATTGGTTACTGTTGAATCTCTTGAGCCTGTGCTGTCTGTGACCCTTTGTCCTCAATGCTTGGCAGTTCTCCGAAGCCCTTGTAGAGAGTAGGCCCTACAGCTTCTTATGGTTAGCTCTTCACAGTCCTTGTGTCACTTGGCTCTGATCATCATTTATACACTAGCTCTTTTGCCACCACTATCTCCATTCCAGTGCAGCTGACACTGCCTTTGCTCCCTCCATCTGTTCCTGCTTGTGATGTCAACTTTTCTTTATGCTACCAGTTCAGTCTTCACTACTAATAAAAATCAAAAGTAGGGGAGAAAAATCATGTTGGGTTTCTTACTGCAACACCAGGGTACAGCACAGGATAGTGTCTCAGCTAGCTTAGAAAGTGAGCCAAACAGCCTACTTTCCTCCCCAGAAAGAAGAGTGGGAAGGACATGTGCACCAGTCACACCAAATCTTTGTGCCAAAAAGGATTGTGTTTGTAGTAATCACAGGTTTTCTGCTGGACTATCAGTGCAAACACTTTCCTTCTGGACCGAGTAAAAGTGGCTACGGGGTCGCCTGGAATTCACTGAAGTTTGTGGTGGTCAAAAGACTGGTACAGGTCTTCTGAAACACTTTAGCTGGGATAGTACGTTCTAGTAACAGAGGTTGCTCTTTGTTAGCAAGCCGCTGAGATTACCATGCAGTTTCCTTAAGATGTCTGTAGAGTGCTGGCATGAAGACAGTCCACCAGACAGCTTGGTTGATAGTCATTCCCTTAAGTAAGCTGAGACACCAGGGAATAGCTGCCATCTATCAGGAGTCAAATCACCCCATTACCTGACATCTTAGATTATTAAAAGGAGAAAATTAAAGTGAGTACCTGGAATAAAGCCTTGTTAAAATTAAGAGACTTACAGGTGCATTTTTTATTTAAAAAGTTTTTAGATTTATTTATGTATATGAGCATTTTGCCTGAATATGAGTGTGTACCATGTGCAAGGCTGGTACCCATGGAGGAGAAAAGAAAGCATCAAAACTAGAAGAATAGGATATGCCCAACTCTCAACAAATAACAGAGAGGGAAGAATGAGGGAGAGAGGAGGCAGTTTTACCAGGACAGTAATAAAGAGACAAGTTGCAGAGAGAGAGAGAACTCAGCTGAAGACCAAAGAAGCCAGGAGATTAGAGCAAGTGGCTGGAGTTAGTTTGAGGCCAAGAAGAGCAATTCAAAAGCTGAGAGAAAAAGCCATTTTGAGTAAGTCAGGTGGGAGAGAAATTTGAGCCAGAACAACTAAGTTGAACCAGCCAGCTATGCGCTCAGAAATAGTAAGAAATAATAAGGGTGAGCTTATTAAGCAGTAAGTCTCAGCAGCTGAAAACATTCTAGGCCTTGGTTAGATTGTACAGAGGCTAGAAGCTTCCAGGCATAGCCTAGGTTAACAGACAGAGGCAGTAAGCATCCGAGACAACAACTGAAACAGGTGAATAAAAGTTCCTTTTACAGGCATCTAATTTTATTCATGAAAGTCTTGAGGTTTAAGCACTCTATTTTTTCTTGATGTGTATGAATGTTTTGCCTGCATGTATGTAAGTATGCTTCATGCATGTCATATGCATGCTGGTGCTTGAGGAGGTCACAGAAAGGTGCCAGATCTCCTGGAGCGGTAGTTATGGACCATCATGAGCCACCATGCAGATTATGGGAATTGAACCTAGTTCTTCTGGAAGAGCAGCCAGTACTTTAAACAACTGGAATCTCTCCAACCTAACTGTGGTTTTGAGACACAGTCTTCTTGAATGCAGAGTAGTATCTTCATAAAGTAGTATCTTAATATTTGACAATACTAATAATGGTGAATTTTGATCGTTTACCTTAAATAGTGGATAAGAAAATCCAGCAAAGATTCACTTTAGTATTTTATGTGAATTATCCTCTTAAATTTAAGCCTTAACTAAAGTCTGAATCTTCTGTGAATACATAGATCTTGTGTGAAATATTATTAGCTCACAGTAACCCTACTTGGGTAGCCCTGTCCTCTGTTTCAGAAATTGCTGTTTTGATTCTCTGCCAACTTCTCTTTTCTATCCCTGGCTTTTTTATTCCCCCATTATTGGGAATCAAACCCAGGTGTTATAGGAGGTTTTTCCTCCCTTCCCTAAGGTCATGAGACTCAATTATTATTTATAGCTACCTAGCCTATATAGCTAGGCTCTTTATGACTAGCTCATAACTTAAAATATCCCATGTATACTAATTTACATTCTGTCACATGGCTGGTTACCTGGGCTCAGGAACCATGCATCCATCCTCTTCCCATCTTGCCAGCTGAATCCCAAGAACCTGGCTCTATCCCGGAATCCCTTCTGCCTGCTGGATGTCCCACCTATTTTCTGCCTCAGCCATAGACCATAGGTTGTGTTGTTTTGTTTTGTTTTGTTTAATTGACAGGTGTTGCATCCTTAAAATACACAAGAGATTTCTTGTACACGCAGATTTGGTTTCAGACTAGGCAAACATTCATTCATTGGTATGTGTGTGGGGTTGGGAGAAGAAAATGGTTTTATTATTCCATATCTTTATCTAGAGCTGTCTTTTTCAATTCAGATTGTTTTATTTTATTTTTTATGTGTATGAGTACTTTGCCCACATGCTTGTCTATGCACTACTTGCATGTGTCACCAGGGAAGGCATCAGATCCTCCAGAACCGAAGTTACAGGTGTAGCACAGCCACCATTGAGCCGTCATCCTCCCAGCCCCTAGAAACTGTCTTTTAATGTGGAATTTTAAAAAATACTTTAGTCGAGGGCCTAAGAAGGTAGTTGGGTTGGTAAAACATTTGCCTTGGAAGCTTAAGGTCCAGGAGATAGAGCCGTGAGTGTGGTAGGGCACACTTGTAATCCTTGCTTGAGGAGGTGGAGACAGTAGTATCCCTGAGGCTCCGTGGCCATCCAGTCTGACCAACCTGGTGAAATTTGAGGTCATTGAGAGATCCTGTCTCAAAAACAGTGTAAATAACACCTCAGTCACAATATCAAAGGCGGACCTGGCCAAACATTCACACACACACACACACACACACACACACACGCTCACACGCTCACACACATACATACACAGGATCACAAAGATTTTAGTAAAGATATTAATGAAAAGTTGTCTACGAGGTGTGATTAAATCACAAAAAAGGAAATTGTAAAAGCAGTATTTTTTTTTAAGATTAGAAAAAATACTATTTTAAATTCTGTGTGTGCGCACACTTTTGAGTCCAGTGCTCCCGAGTCTAGAAGAAGCTGGATCCCTAGGAGATGGAGTCACAGATGGAGCCACCTGGTGTGACTGCTGCGGATAGAACCCAGGTCCTCTTTGAGAGCAGTGCCTTTTCTTAACTGCTGAGCCATCTCTCTAGCCCCACATGACTTTTTTAAAAAGGTTTTATTTTTTTTATCTGTGAATGTTTTATTTATATGTTTGTGAGGACACTATACGTGAATGGCGCAATCAGAAAGGATGTCAGATCCTCTAAAACTGGGACTCACAGGAGGTTGTGCACCAGCGTACGGGTGCTAGGAACTGAGCGTGAATTCTCTGCAAGAGCAGGAAGTGCTCTAACCAGCTGAGTCATTTCTTCAGATCCCACGTGACCTTTTTTTTTTTTTTTTTTTTTTTTATTGAAAAAAAAAAAAAAAAACGTGTTAAGTGAATTTTCTGAGACCGGCATGGTGGTATATACCTATGCTAGTTACTTTTTAACAACTTGATACAAGCTAGAGTCGTCTGGGAAAGGGAATTTCAACTGAAAAAAAAATTCCTCCATCAGACTGCCTGTAGGCAAATCTGTTGAGCATTTTATTGATTAATAAATAGTCTGGGAGAGCCCAGTGTACCCCAGGGACTGTGCCACCCTAGGCAGATGGGCCAGAGCTGTATAAGAAAGTAGTTGTGACTGGGGCACAGTGACACACGCCTGTAAAGGGAGGCAGAAGTAGTTAGATCACTGTGAGTTCAAGGCCAGCCTGGTCTACAAAGTGAGTCCAGGACAGCCAAGGCTACACAGAAAAACCTTGTTTTGAA